AAAGGGCTAAGGTATGTGCCTCATGTGAAGCCTTGCATCAAGAAATTCTCCAACACACTTAAGGTGATAAGCATCATACTGTTAACAATGATTCCATGGTTGAAGGTCAGTCAAGCAAGTAAGCAAAAAGCCTTTGGCGCAATCTCTGTTGGAAGCATTTTTGCTGTGCTTGGATGGGGTTTAGCAATGCATCTGCTCTTTATCATTGTCATATATCCTCCATGCCTCATTCTCAAACCGGATAGACCTGCGTTGAAGTCAGTCATGATAATGGCCAGTCAGAAATCCTTAGCAGTTGCATTGACGATTGCCGGGTACCTTCCATTTACCCACGCTGAACAAGGCATCATTAGTCTTCCACTGATCATCATTCACCTTGGGATTCTCGTGTCAGACTCTGTGTGGGCGTCATGGTGGTTTGCATATGATGCTAAGAAAGAGAAAGTTGCAGCAGCTGACAGTGCTTCAGATGGTCAACCTTGTACAAATGAACTTGAAATATATGATGCTAATCAAAATTTACACATTCCAGTACGTGCATTCCAGTACATTTCGACGTTGTGAGTCTTCCACTCAGAGCTTGACTGCTTGAAAAATGACAACTGTATTGCTATTCCAGATTAGAGCAGTTTTCAATATTGATGTTGTGTGTCATAAAACAAAAACCATATTAAGGACAGTGCCTACTAAATACAAAGGTTTTTGTGCCGGGTTAGGGGCATGCCGAAAAAGTAGATCTTTGCAAGGACCATTGGAATCCACAAAGAAAAATTGGGGTAGCGACGCATTTTTCTGAGATAATCAGGCTTGAGTCTCAGCAAGGATGCTGACATCAGCATTTTCTGAAAAAAGAAGGAAAGGATATTTCTTCACAAATTTCATTCGAATTCTCCTTCACAAACAGAAAAGCAAACACACTTATAAAGATCTTAAAACTGCATGGTGAATGGTAACATAAAATCCATTTCTGGTATGTTTTTAATAATAAAATCGTTGCAACAGCACTTTTAGTGTCTCAGAGAGCCTTCCTCTGGTTCAGCCAAAATACAGTCTAAATACCTTTTGCTCACAACCAGAAACTAATCACATGTTGAATAGGC